TGGGCCAGAGTTTCTAAATCACCCCCACACACCACTAAAATGGGCTGTGAACTGAGTCCAGAGCAACTTGGTAACAAGCTGAGTATTTTCCAAGTGGGAGCTTGAGTATGTTAGGCAGACGGCCTTGCATGAATTACTGATCGCTGAGCCTCGCCACCCTATTACAGGGCACAGTAAAATATCAGCCAGGGTATGAGTTTGGGGAACTGTCTCAACTAAGAAAGTGGGGGAAAGTTGTCTTTTAGATGTACATTCTATTACGGCTGCTCTTACGTTTCATCGGTTGGAATGGTCTTTTAAATCTCAGACACCGGCCTGAGAAGTTGAATATTGCTGAAGTCTGTTGAAAAGTGATGGCACCACCCCCCAAACCTCCCCCAAAATCGTCTTCGTTTCGTTCTTTTGGGAGATGGACCTGATCAGGGAGAGAGGAACAGGCAGGGTGCAATTTGGAAACCAGGATGCTGATGGGTCACTTGTGGGTCAGAATTAGTGGCCAGTCCTCAGGCACATCCCATCCCGTCTGTTGCCCAGAGATGCTAGAAACCTTATGGATTTTCATAAAACCAAAGAAGAAAATGTACTTTTGTAACTGGAATGGAAGATAGTAAAAGCTGATTGAAAATTGTTTTTACTTTAGCACTACTATGATTGACTTTTTTTAAGGAATAAGGGAGTGTTTTCAAGGAAACTCCAGGAACTTTGAAGGATATTAAAATGTGTTAACACTAGGTTTGGGGGCTTTGGTTTTTTAGATACTAGTACAAAATAGTACATCAATGATGTAACAACACCTGTGGACTCACTGCTCAAGTGAAAAATTAGTAACATTTTGTTATATTGCTTCAGATTCTCTCCCAGTTGTAAAGAAATAAACCAAGAAAGTTGAAAACTACCCCCCCCCCCCCCCCCCCCGGCGTTTTTCCCTGCCTCATCCGGTGCCTCTTCCTCCCTCCCCAAGGACGGGCACTATCATGAATTCAGTGTGTATATAGTCTGAATTTCATCATTTTATCTTCTACGTCAACAACCCTTAAGTCTTTGTAGTTTACATAAATGGTCCCACACACTATTCCTCATTCTGCAATTTGCTTTATTCTCCTCAACATTAGATCTGGGGGAGCCAGAACACTGAAGCAGCTTGAATCCAGATCGCTGACTTAGAGCTCTTGTATGGTGTTCCATTTTATGAATCTCTCAAATCTGTCCCACTACTAAGTCACTTGGGTCATTTCTCTGTTATAAGCAGGAGTACACGGGACATCATCACCAGGCTGTCCACCAGGAAGGGAATTGCTAACTCATAAAGCGGGCACGTTGTCAACTAGCTGCCAAATGACTCTTCCAAAGTGGAGATGCCAGTTTCCAGATACCGGGGCAGATGCTGAGCGTTCACACATCACCGTTTCCCACCTAGAATTGGCAGGCTTTTATTTTATCCAGCCTGGTTGGATACGAAATGGTGTTTCTCTGTTGGCTTAGTTTGCGTTTCTCTGATTTCTGGAGAGGTCAGGCACCGTTTTGTGTGGTTGAGTTGCCTGTTCAGTCTGTACAGCTTTTCTTTCTGTGTCTTACTGTTTTGCTAACGAGTCTTTTAATACTTTCAAGCTACTGTTATTGTGTGTGGCGGTACATTTCATCGTGTTTCAAAATGCGTGGTTTTCCTCGTCTGTAACATGGGCTCGTTAGTTTCTGTCATCTGCGAATCCTTGCACGTTTTCTTTTGTCTGAGTGGAATGGAGTGAAGGAGAGGCTCTCTTTCCTACACAGGGCAGGGCCGGACACACGGGATTAAAGAAGAGGTGTGCAAAACACTCAAGCTGAGCCAGGGATGTGTGAAAGACGGAGGGAAGATGGCCAGGGGAGCTCTGAAGCCTTTGCGTGAAGAGCCGGCGGCTCATCTGGGCCCTGGAGCCGGGTGGCCGCGCGCTCCCGGCCTCTGCATGGCAGGCGTCCCGAGTGAGGCTGGGGCGCGGGTGGGCGAATACATCTGTCTTGCTGGGAAAGGGCTGCGGGGCTTGGCCTCCACTGCCGTGTACGCTTCTTGCTGTGGGGCCGGCAGCGTGGAGCCCACCTGCCACCCTCTTGAGACACCTGGTGCTCCTGTGGGCCAGCAGCTGGGAACAGGGGTGTAAAAATTGTAAAACACAAAGTGAGACTCCCTCAGGGAGCGTTCTGTCCAGGGGACAAGTGTGTCCGGGACAGCACTGTGACAGAGGCGAGCACGGAGTCCCCCCAGTGCAGACGTGGGGACTCTCTCCTTCCCTGGGGGAGTCGGAGAGGACGTCGTAGAGCTGAGTCCTTCCAGCCCAGTAGGGGAAGGGACACAAGTACAAAACACCGTTTTCTATTCAGGGCCCACAGGCATGGCTGAACCTGGTGAGGGGCTGGACGTTCAAGCAATGCGTGGCGGGTCCCGTCAAGTCAAGCAAGAAATACGATCCTAAAGGTGACAGGGAGCCATTGAAGAGTTTTCGGGAGGTGAGAGGCAAAAAATTTAAATACAAATCAATAAAGACGTATGGTCCAGCCTACCTGTTGCCTCTTTGGCCCTTCCTGGAAGACCGTTGGCTGGAGAGGCGTAAAGTCTTGAGCCAAGCTTCCCTGGGGTCTAGATCCTAGGAGTTGCATTGCATGATGGGAAGAAGGGCATAGCCACGTTGGCATCTTGGGAGTTACATGGATTTCTCTTCGTGATTCTGCTTTTTCTCTCAGTAGTAAAACAGCAACTTCTTTATCAAAATGGGTCATTTTCAAGTCTCAGAGAACTGGACAAATTAACAAGGGCCAGTGGTTTCCGGTTCTTTAGTGAGACATCCTCAGACTGTTTTCTTTTACTGATTAGAATGAGTCATTCCCCAGGGGTCTTTCTGCAGTGACCTCTTTATGCCCAGAACGGGACATTGCTGAGAAATCCCGGCATTCCCGTTCAGGGGTCCGTAACCTCTCTTCCACTGCTGACTGGGGCAGCTTCCCCTGCTTACATGGAGATGCTCACAGACCGTAGAAATGACAAGGAGCATGGCATCGAGGTCACTCCCTCACAGTCTGCTCCCGGAGAAGGAACACAGCAGAGGCAAGAATACAGTTTTGACGGAGTTGAAACCTTCCAGGTTGTTCATCTTGTTGACGCCTGTGTGAGCCTTCCCCAGGGGAGCCTCCCTTCCTGCTGCCATCGTCTCTTCTCGTCTGGTAACATCAGAAAGGTGGCCAGAGAATGTCCCATGGGGTAGAGTCGTAGAAGTTAGCTAGATGGGGGCCAGAGGCAGGCCTAGGAGTGAAAGGCCTAGAATACAGCCTCTTCCCCACTCCCCGACCATGACTGCAGACCGGTTCACACTCTGACCCATCCACCTCTGGACTTGCCCCCAGTAGCCTCTTGTGTGGTGGTCGCCTCTGTCCAGACTCCTCCAGTCAGGGCCCCTCCCTGACCGTGCTCTGAAGGGTGGTAATTAGTGGTCATTCAGGTAACGTAGAAGTTGAAATGTCACACTGCATGAACCTCGTGGGACAATTCAGTAGGATTTACTTTGGAAAATTATTCCCTTCTTTAAGAGATGGAACATGAAGAATCTTGTGGAATAACAGACTGAAGGAACTTGGGAAATGTGGACCCTCCTTTCATTTGATAGCTGGGGAAACTGAGGCCCTGAGAACAGACTAATTAACTAATTAGCAGAGCCACGGCCTGAATCAAATGTGGTTTCATAGCTGTTTTTCCTGTGCCCCTTTTAGTGTTAGTAAGTTGCTATTTCACATTCTGTAAAATGTATCAGGGCACTTGGTGTTTGGATACAAGAGGCCTAGAAGGGTCTAAAGCAGACATTTAAATGGGTGCCGTGAGCCAGGCACTGTGGTAGAGAGACTTACAGGTTCCACAGCACACAAGGGTCCCTGTCCCAGAGGAGCCCCTGGGGAGGAGAAAACCACAAGCGCCTCACAGTGCGGCGTGGCTGCTGGTACCGTGGGAGAGACCCCCGAACCAAGTAGGTGGTGCGGGCGCGACCGTCGAGGAAGGGCCTGTGGGAAGAGGCCGCTGGGGCCCGGGGTTCTGGCATCTGCGTCCCTGGGTCCTGTCCTCCCCGGCGCCCCTCCACTCTGCCCAGATCCACACGTCTGCGCTGCGAGAGCGTCTTGGCCCCCGGTGAGCGAGTTGACACGGGCAGGACCTGTGCTTCCTGCGTCAGCGTGTGAAGCGTTGCCTGCTGAATGGTGTCTGGTTGCTCTTGTCAGGGAGATGCTCTCGTCACCGGGTGTCCCCGCAGACAGGTCTCTGGCCCTCCTGGCACAGTTCTGTTCTGTGACTTCATAGCAGCAGTAAGAGCTGACAGTGACCCTGCTGAGGCACAGAGGACTGGGTTTTTACATCAGCGGCTTTGGAGCTAAGGGAATAAGAAAGAAGGGCTGAGGTTCCCATCCTTGGCAGATGTGGACTCTGCCCCGTCTTTCCGGAAGTCATCGCCCGCTTGCTCCTGGGTCGGGCAGGGCTCCCCAGATGTGCCTGGGGGGTTCTGATGACCTTTCTTCTGCGTCGCCTGACTCGGGCTGGGTTGTGCAAAGCTCAGGGTGGTTAAGATGCCAAGTGGAAGCGTGTAAACAGGTGAACTCTCGGATCCACGCTCTGCCTCTGACACAGCTGTGCAGATTGCCCAGCTCCCGGCGAGGGGCTCTGCTGGTGGGTGTCTTTGTGCCTTAGACTTTGCGTGGCGACGGCAGATGCTTCTGCTTTTTGTTTCGGTAGCCTCTCCGCTTCCTGCCGGAGCGGCTCCACGCTTCTAGTTTCCACTAATCACAAGTCGCATCTGCTATCATTTCTCTTCCTCCAAATGACATCACACGCCTGCTTTCTGGAAGGGAACCACAGGCTGTAGTTGCAGTCAGAGCCGGATTCTGACATGTGAGTGACTTCGCTTGGGAGTCCACAGGCTGCCACGGCAGCGTGAAGTCAGACCCTGGGATATGTTTGCCCGAAGTCACCTTGAGCTTTGCTTGTTTTTCAGGTTGCGGTGCTTTCGTCCACAAAGGCTGCAGAGAGAGTCTGGCCTCCTGTGCAAAGGTCAAGATGAAGGTAAGACGTTTCTGAGCGGACCAGTCCTCGGGGTTGGGAGAGGCCAGGTTGTGGTTTTTGTTTATTGGGATCATTTGATACCAAGACTGAGACCAAAATAACCAGACTGTAGTTTGTCTTTAAAGCCATGGAGTCTCTTGGTTAACGCACTCGGGACCCTGGGAGTTTCAGAACTCCCACGTTAAATACACATTTCTCCATGATGCGGATGTGTCTGGTGGTGTTACGGTGGTTTTCTTCTTAACCGTGTGTGCCCGCCTGCCTGGACGGTCACACACCTGGCTTCCTCCTGGTGCCATTCAGGGCCCTTGACCTCCTGAGGAGCCAAGGCGGGAGGGGAGGGGGTTAGGGTTTGGCACAGCCTGCCTGGCAGCACTTGAGTCCGCAGGGCACAAAGGGGTTGGCTCTGGGCACACGACACAAGAACAGGAAGTGCCAGGCGTGTGGTAGCACCTGCTCTGGGAACGCGCACTGCACAATAATGGGCGCTGCCTATCAGGTGGCCCTTCAGGAGAGTGGGTGTGGGGCATACCCCCAGGCACCCTCTGTGGTTTCTGGTGTTCCGGCCACCCATAAATCAATGTCCTTTTGTTCCTTGTCCGAAGAGTGCCCTCCAGCTGCCGTCTACACAGACGCTCAGGATGCTGCCTCGGTCACCAGACATTTATCTAAGCGCAGTGGCCTCGTGCTTGAGTGTACGTTAGAGCCTGCTCAGGGACTTTCTAGAAGACCGCTCACTGTGGCAAGCTCCCAGAGCTGCCTGTTCTGGGGCAGGGCCCGGGAATTCGCATTTCCCGCAAGTTCCCAGATGATGTGGCTACCGCTAGTGTGAACTAGTGTAAAAATGATAGGCTTCTGAACCCCAGATCTTACCAGGCCATGGACATAAATTTGTTTGGCTCTTAAAGTAGTGTTTTGTTTTTGTTTTTTGGTTAATGCAGTTATTTAAAAAATCGCATTTCGTATCAATTTGGATTTCTGATTTCTCCTTAAAGAATTGGAAGATCTCACAACCCTGGTTATTTCCTCTTACCCAGAATTACCGATTTTCACCTTGCTTGTTTTCCTTTTCTCCGTAGTATTTACCACCTTCTCAGGGTCTGTGCTTCACAGCTTGTATTATTTATTACATTGATTTTACATGGTCTGCACTCCCCAGCCCCCCACTAGAACATAAGCCCCAGACTTGCCGAGCAGTCTGAAGTCAGGAATGTTTGATCTGTTGATTGATCCTAAGCATCCAGAATGGTATCTGTCTTCTGGGTTTCCTAAATGCTGGGAAGATGGACGGGAAGTGGTAACGCACTGGGGCCCCAGTGGCTGCTGTACCCTCCACAGGATGTGTGGATTGCCTCTCCTCCCACTTGTCTGTCGTTCGCTGCCTGCCCGGCCCCACAGGCATGGAGTTTGTGGTCTCTGACAAGACAGCGCTGCTGGGAATGTCCTAGGTTCTCATGATGGAAATGTAGCATCTCCCCTAGAAGAGAACACAGCCTGAAAGTGGGGGGGAGGGGGCATTTTTTAATTTGGAAACCACCTGCTTCCACTAATGATTTCTCTCGGTAATTGGTGTAGTCTGTAATTTCTCACTCAAAGTGTTTCTGTCAGATGCTACAACAAAAGCCTCAACTAAAATTAGTGCTTCACCTGAGAACTATTTGGTACCTTGTTAATGCTGGCCACTAGAGAAAGAGAAAAAGGCACAGAAGCTGGCTTAGGGAACCCGCATTCTAGTGGGGAAGATGGTGAGCAGGCTGTGGCCGTAAATGGGGGAGAATCTCCGTGGAGGCCTGTGCAGGATTCTCAGGGGCTTCCAGCCACCGCCTTGGGAGAGGAGGAGAAAGAAGGTGATGCTGGCTTCACTGAGGAGGTAGTTCTCGCCTGGTCTTGAATAGAAGAATGTCCCATGGCGAAGGCACAAGGGCATTCCGGGCAGGAGAGGCAGCCTTTGTGGGGCCATGGCACATGGTGGGTTCAGAAGAGAGCCAGTGGGGGTGACGGGCGGGATGCTGCGGCCCGTTGGCCAGGAGCCAGGCTGGCTCTCTCTCTGCCCTAGGCTTCTTGAAGTCTACAGAAAACAAGTTGTGGACACAGCCTTCATCTACTTATTTATTTCCTTTTCCTCTTCGTCCAGCAGCCCAAGGGGACCCTGCAGGCACATGACACGTCTTCGCTGCCCACGGTCATCATGAGAAGCAAGCGTAAGTAACTCCGCCCTCCTCTCTTCCAGCTTTTTGACTCTCTGGTTCAGGACTTAAACATACTTCTGTAGTAATTCATTTGTTACTCTTAATCAAGATTTGAATATTTATTTCGTGTTAAGTTAGAGAAGGCTGCAGGTTCATTGACCAGAAGATTAATGTTCTGCCATCTGGCTGTCTTAGAAGGCTCTAGAAGGGTGTGTGTACTTGCTTAAAAGGCAGCCCTGTGTCCGTGTGTTTAAGCAAGTGACCCCGTGCATCTCGAAATTCCTCTTCCGAGGGTCGACGCTTGTTTTTAGGGCCTCACAGTTGCACAAAGAAAATGAGATCTTGCTGATTGAACTTCTTAGTTCATAAACTGTGAAGTTAAGTAAATCATTCTCTTTTTTCCCAATGACTTCAGGAGGTACTTCAGAAAACTGCGTAAATGACACTGTTCCATCCACATCATGCTGCCTTCACCAGTGTGTGCAAGGCTCCACTTTGGTTTTCCTTCACGTTCTCCCTTTTTCGCTCTCCACTCCCCCATGCCTTTCCCTCCTTAGCACCCACTGTAGTTATTTAACACATCTCTTTCCACTCAGCTCCGTTGTCACACATATGTCTGTCTCTGAAAATGTCTCTTACTGTTTCACGTGTCAAATTTATATTACATAGGACCTACGCTTATTCATCCTTTTTTTCCCCATCTGTCATTTTGAGATCTGCGCGTGTCAAGTGTCAGCTGTTGCAGACTGCAGGATGTGCTCTTTCACAGACCTGCTCCCCACTTTCGTTATCGGTCCCCCCTCCCCGCCGAAATCACCACAAGTGAGGCAGTTCTGAGTATCATCTTAATTGGCCCCTACAGACACCTGTGTAGGACTTACCCCAAGGCAGTGTTTTTCAAAGTGTAGTTCCTGGAGCCATCGGAAGTGCGAGTTCCTGGGCCCCGCCCAGACCTACTGAACCCGAAATTCCAGGGGTGGCGCCCAGGGCGGTGCTCCAGGCCCTCCAGGTGAGGCTGGTGCACTGGCCTAAGGCTCGCCTGGTTGCTCTGAATTCTTCCAGGAGATGGGGAATTCCCTTTAGGGAGATTGAGGCTGCTGGCTGCCCATCTCTGCGAGTAGATTTCTGGAAGGGAAGTTTCGCCAGACCGACAACCACCTTTGTCGGCGATCCAGCCTATTCCAGCACCTTTTACCAGTCTCATCTTCCTTAACTTTTTTTCCGGGACATTATCCCTCACTTCAGAAATCTGTCTGCTTCCATATCAGATAAAATGACATAAAATGACATCTTTTTTTTTTTTTTTTACGTCTTTTTTTTTTTTTAAGGCTACCTGTCTTATGCCAGGTTGTGTGTGTTGCCAGGTTGTGTGTGTTACCTGTGACCCCCACATGTATTTTTATTCCTGTGTTACCACCCCCCTCCCCTAACGCGTGTGGTGTAAGAGTACAGATAGATAGTGGATTCAAGTCGTGTGGGTCGGAGCCAAGCGCTAAGGGAAAAAACCTTAGACATTTACTGCATCCCCACTCCGTCCGTTGTCGAAACGAATGACGGCAGTTGCAGTGGGTGCTCGACAGGTTTAAACGAGACCAAACCTATAAAGTACTTAATGGTAGGCCTCCTTAAGTGTTAGCTTTGGCTACTGTCCCCATCACCACAAAGAAGGAAACTGAGGCTCAGAGATACTAAGTCACTTAACCTGAGTGGAGTAGGGATCGGTTTCAAAGAAGGGAAATTATAACTTTCACTACCGCCCCCATGCTGTCCTTTGAAAACAAAATTGATGCAGGAATTGCCCTGGTGGCTCAGTTAATCACTGGCTCAGGTCATGATCTCATGGGTTTGGGAGTTTAAAGCCCGTCTGTTAGGCTCACTGCACAACAGCCTGGAGCCTGCTTTGGATTCTGTGTCTCCCTCTTTCTGTGCTCCTCCCCTGCTTGCACTCTGTCTCTGTCTCTCTCAAAAATAAGTAAACATTTAAAAAAAAAAAATTTTTTTTTAAAACAAAGTTGTTCTTGGGGTGTCTGGCTGGCTCAGTCAGTGCAAGTCTTGATCTCAGGGTTGTGAGTCTGAGTCCCATATTGGGTGTAGAGGTTACACAAAAAAGTTTTAGTTTAAAAAAAAAGAAAGTTGTTCTTTATCACTTTTAGGGTTCTGCGTAGCATGACCTCACTCAGCCTCTCCAGCTCTTTCTACTGATTCTTTATATACATCTTCCTTTCTCTTCTACTGGTTCCCTCCTTTCCACATTCATACGACATGATTATTTCCGCTGCTTCCTTCTCACAGCTCTCTCCTCATCAGTGTCCTGTCTTCCTTCTGGCCCATCCACATCCTTCCCACTCTTCAGGAACCGGTGTTTGTTCCTCCATCAGATTCTGTCCGCTCGCTGACATCCCTCCCGCCGCACCGAGGCTGTGCCCTGGGCTCTTGAACACTTGGGCATCGAGCCCCCTCTCTGTTGGGGTGGGGCCCGCATCTCCGTCCTTGTGTGCTTCCTGCAGGAGGGGTCTGGTTATGTGCAAGTGTAGCATGTTTCTGGTGTTTTATTATATCACCTTCTTCTAAATAGAATTTGAGTTGGAAATTAATGGTTTTTATTAATTCTGATGAAGTCAAAAACATCCTGAAATACCGTGAAGTCATAACAGCTGCCCCAGTACAATTTCCTCTAGTTCTTGACACTCCTGGGGACAGACAGACGATGCAGCTCGCATCTGGGACAGGAGCTCAGTTACCAGGGAGAAACCACTTGTTAACCCAAACGCTGGTATGTCCAGTTGAACGTGAAATCAGCTCTGCTTTCCTCTCTGGTCACGTTCAGGAGAAATACGAACTCTGAGAAGAACCTACTGTGTGACCTTAAACATATGTTGCATCTCACCCAGCTGTAAATTTAAAAGAATTGGTCAAAATCTGTGTTCTCAAACAGCAAAAGCATCACTCAGGGAGCTCGTAAAACGTGTGGATGCCACAGTGCCCGCCCCAACGGCGGACAGGGCAGGGAATTCGCACGTCTGACCAGCACCTCAGAGCTGCTGGGGAGGCACCCCCAAAGCACTGACCTCCCAGCCCTGTGGTTCCTTTTATCCCGAAAATTCTTTCAATTTGTTTTATTTCCCTTTGAATTATTCTGTTTTCCTCTGAATTGAATTCAATTTCATTTCAATTTATTTTCCTTTGAATTACTTTCTCTGTTTGAATGCACTGTTCTCACACCATTCTTTATCCCTGTTGCCTAATCTCCATCCCACCCACATGAAACCACTCTTCTTAGTTTTATATATTTATCTTCTTCAACTTTTTTTATTAAAATAAAGCCAACACCAATTTGGGTTTATTAATTTTTCTTTTTTTCTCCTTTAATATTTGGATGAATCTTTTAAAAAAAAAATTTTTTTAACATTTATTCACTTTTAAGAGAGAGCACGAGCGAGGGAGGAACAGAAAGAGAGGGAGACACAGAATCCAAAGCAGGCTCCAGGCTCCAAGCTGTCAGCACAGAGACCAATGTGGGGCTCGAACTCACAAACCGTGAGATCATGACCTGAGCTGATGTTGGACACTTAACCAACTGAACCACCCAGGCACCCCCGTTTTTCTCTTTTTTTGTTTTTCAAAAAAAAAATTTTTTTTAATGTTTGTTTATTTTTGAGAGACAGAGACAGAGTGTGAGCGGGGCAGGGGCAGAGAGAGAGAGGGAGACACAGAATCTGAAACAGGCTCCAGGCTGTGAGCTGTCAGCACAGAGGCCGATGCAGGACTTGAACTCACAAGCCGTGAGATCATGACCCGAGCCGAAGTCGGACGCTTAACCTCCTGAGCCACCCAGGTGCCCCTTTTTGTTTTTTTTTAAACATGAGAGTCTGTTGTGTAACTTTGTTTTGCACCTTGATTTTCCCCCCATTGCAATGTTATCTTGAAGATCTGTGTTGGTTCATGGCGACTGTCCTCATTTTTTCAAAACGACATAGTATTCCAGTATGTGACATGCCATCATTTATTAATCAGTCTTCTCTTGATACTCGTTTTTGTCTTTTGTAGTATTTTGCTTTGATCACTAGTGTCGCATTGAATAACTTTGGACGTATGTCGTTTCAAGCATCACACGTGCATCTTGCAGAATAAGTGTGCCCTGAATTGGAATTACTGGATCAAGGGGTATAGGCATTTGCAGCTTCACTAGGTGTTGCCGGACCATCCTCTGTAGAGTTCCTGTACGCACTTACACTCCCAGGGCAAATCTAACCTGGAGACGTTTGCTTCTGTTTGGCATTTGTCGGAGGAGTCCGCCCCGGTGAGCTTGGAAACGTGTGCTTCAGTCTGTGCCCTCTCTTCCTCCACAGCCTCCCAGCCTAAGGAGCGCCCCCGATCCGCGGTCCTCCTGGTGGAGGAAACCACTGCCGTCCCCATGTTTGCCAGTAGACGGTCACAGCAGAGTGTCTCACTCTCCAAAAGTGTCTCCATACAGAACATTGCTGGGTAAGTGGGGGTTTAAACACAGCTCGGTTGACATCTAGGTGACAAGAGTGTAATAAAGTAATCCTATAATTTGACAAAAAGATTCTCATCAGAAAAAAAATTGTGTAATGACTTGGTGCACATCCAGGTGTACAGACGAGGAGAGTGGGGATTACGTTTTGAGGCACTGTCCTGACCGCCATTTTGTGACAAGGATCCCCTGTCAGCCAGGTTGTCCTATGCTTTGTGCACAGTCAGCCTCGCTTTGAAGGATCCCTAGTTATAAAGGGATGGTTTTTAGATTAAAATAAGAAGTGGAAACGGGGGAAATGACTTGTTTCTGAATTTTGTCTGGTAATCACTTAAATTTTCAGATGTTACACTTTCCTGTTGGTCCATTGAACCTGGTGTTTTTGCTTCTCTTTAAATCTCTTTTCTCTTCTTGCATCTGGACTCTTAAGTCCGTTCCATGGAAGTGAATAATGGGCCAGTTATGACTGTTAGGTCCCCACTCACTCATTTGCACTAAGTTCCTTTTGTGGTCCCTGCAAAAGTTGCTATGGCCCCCAACTGTGCAAAGCCCTGGCTGTCACGGGGTTAGCACAGGACTGATTGTGATGTTATTGGCTGCTTTGGGATAAGACTCCTGCCTTCACATCAAGTAAAGAAATCATCTCAAATGTAGGACTCAAAACATATCTTGCACCTCTCTTAACCTAGGCTAGAGTAAAATTCTTAACTAAAGGATACAAATCTTCTTTTGTCTCTATTTCCTAACCTCTGTGCTGGCTAGTGTTTCCTTGCTAAAAAAAAAAATGTTCCAGGTATTTTTATTTTGTTTTGTCTTTGTAGTGTTGTTCTTCAAAGGCCTTCCTTTCAGAGTTGTTAGAGATCAAAACTTGTTTGCATTATGACTTTAAAAAATTATTCTTTGAATAAAATGTAAACTTTTAAATGACTCTGGCCTGCTTTCGTGTCCTACCGCAATCATTTAGTCCAAAGAATACAGTTTATTAGAAGTGCTGATTAAATAAGTGTGATTATTTAAGGAACAAGGAGAAAGAGTGCAGTGGTTACACAGTGAGTTTCAGATAGAGAAATTTCTTGTGTAATGTGTATAGAGTTTAAAGGAGGAGTGTTCTCCCCGCTCTACCTATCATTTAGAAAAAAAAAAAAATCAAAGGCCCGTAAGTTCAAGTTTGCAATGATGTCAAGTGCTTCTGACCTTCCTTAGTAGTGTTGCATGTGGCTGGGTTCCTGACGTAAGTAATTTGTCTTCTAATCATTGTGGTGCTTGCCGCCACCTATCATTTTAGAGTTTTTCAGGTACTCCTTTAAGATTGCAGACCGTGGCTTATCAAAATGTGTTTGCCAGTGTGTGCTTCTTTTTGTCCCCAGAGTCGGCAATGATGAGAACATATCAAACACCTGGAAGTTCCTGTCTCATTCGACAGACTCACTAAATAAAATCAGCAAGGTCAATGAGTCGACAGAATCACTTACTGATGAGGGTAAGAGGAAGTTACGGCTGTGTCTTATGCATCTGTGGGGACCGTGTGCCATTCCCTGAATGCAAGTGTTAATGGAACAACAGTTCCTGCCTCTTCCTTGCTCCTGTGAGGAGTCTCTGAGTTGTCTCGGAATCATCGCATGCTTTGTAACGAACTGGTAATCAGACTTACCAGTTGTTAGATAGTTGTCCATTTGAGGGATGTCGTTGATTTCGTGTGCTTGTACTCTAGCACCAGCACTTTTTCTTCCCCTGGACTTTCACACACCGTCAATTTGTAGCTCTCTCAGCAGGTTATGAGCCTACTCTCTTAAACGAGTGAGGTTACCAGGTCCCTTCCAATTCCTGCTTCACCTGGGAATCATGTCTCAGTCACATTAAATATATGGGATATTTATCACGCTTAGCCAGAATCTTGACTGTAGAGTGTCTCAGTCCCAAACAGGAAAGGATTCTTTTCTAGCCCTGGAATATGCGTTCTATAAGTATCCTGTGTGTTAATGCGGTGTTTGTGTCTTACAAAGTTACCACCCAGGGAAGTCCAGTGTAAGCTTTCCAGAGCTCACAGACCCAAGATTCTGATCCTGATCTTTTGATACTTTGAGGAGTAGGTACAGACATGAATGAAGGACAGCTGATGGGGGACTTTGAGATGGAATCCAAACAGCTAGAAGCAGAGTCCTGGAGTCGAATAGTGGACAGCAAGTTTCTGAAACAGCAAAAGAAAGATGTGGTCAAACGGCAAGAAGTGATTTACGGTGAGACCCTCCAATAGCTCTGCAAATATTTGGTTCGCATTGTGCAGCACTTTTAATCCGGTGAATCCCTGGACTGGATGGAAAGCCGGTTTTCAAGTACTTAGCATGTCAAAGATACTCTTTAAAAACTTTGGGGCCTAGAGACATGATCTTATTTCTGTCCTTCTCTTTCTCTTTAAAATTATTTCCTTTAATTTTATTGAACGTTCTGTTTAATATGAGTGCTTATTTGTGCAACGGCCCCAGATAGAGATCGCTTGTGACAGTACAGTTTGAGTCCTTAGCTACACTAGAAACCAAGCACAAGTTTTCTAGGAAACGGGATGCAGTAATTATGAAAGGCTCTGAATCCTAGAAAGACCACTTGGGAAACCACCATTTAAGAGTGATGGAATCCAGTATGCTGTCAGTAGAGTGTTCGGCCACGTGCAATGTGGAGGAGTAAGAGGGAAGCACTTTAGGGGAAGGACAGCTATGGACCCAGTTTTTAAGTTTTAATTGGGCTCTAAACAGCCTTCAGCCTAAAGTGGGCTCCCAGTAGCAGCGGGTGACCTTTGAAGGAGAATCCTTCAAAAGAATATTCCTGACCGTCCAGCTTTGTCCTCCCTCAGAGTTGATGCAGACAGAGCTGCACCACGTCCGGACGCTCAAGATCATGAGCGACGTGTACAGCCGGGGGATGATGACCGAGCTGCTCTTTGAGCAGCAGATGGTGGAGAAGCTGTTCCCCTGTTTGGACGAGCTGATCAGTATCCATAGCCAGTTCTTCCAGAGGATACTGGAGCGGAAGAAGGAATCTCTGGTGGATAAAAGTGAGAAGAACTTTCTCATCAAGAGGATGGGGGACGTGCTTGTAAATCAGGTGAGCCACAGGAAGGATCTTTCCCACACAGTGGGGGAAATGTGACGCTTCGGGGCTCAGTGTTTGTGTTCGTATCTTTGTAAGCATACGCAAATTATTGAATGTCTCTGAGCCTCACTTTCCTGTTCCGTAAACGAGGACAGATTTTCTCTCCTCATGCTGTTTTTTAAAATTAAATGCATACAGGGACGCCTGGGTGGCTCAGTCAGTTAAGCATCCAACTTCGGCTCACAGTTTGTGAGTTTAAGCCCTGCATCGGGCTCTGTGCTGACAGCCCAGAGCTTGGAGCCTGCTTTCAGATTCTGTGTCTCCCTCTCTCTGCCCCTCCTGAACTTTCACTCGGTCTCTCTCTCTCTCTCTTTCTCTCTTTCTCAAAAATAAACAAACATTAAAAAAGAAAAAAAAATATTAAAAATATTAAAATTAAATGTATACATAATCTATGTGATAGATAGTAAAAGCCCATGTTTCTTCTTCAGCATCCGTACCATCATCAGAAACAGTGTAGTTTAAGAAATCAAAAGCGAGAGGGGCGCCTGGGGCGGCTCAGTCGGTTGAGCGTCCAACTTCGACTCAGGTCATGATCTCACGGTTTGTGAGTTTGAGCCCCACATTGGGCTCTGTGCTGACAGGTCGGAGCCTGGAGCCTGCTTCGGATTCTGTGTCTCCCTCTCTCTCTGGCCCTTCCCCCTCTCGAGCTCTGTCTCTCTCTGTCCCTCAAAAATAAACATTAAAAAAAAAAGATGTCAAAAGCTATTTGTTGAAAGTCTCAACTTCCCCCTGTGCCTCAAATCAAAAAGAACTCCTTTGGGGCGCCTGGGTGGCCCAATTGGTTGAGGGTCTCACTTCAGATCAAATCATGATCTCACAGTTCGTGATTTCGAGCCCCTCGTCTGCTGTCAGCACAGAGCCCACTTGGGATCCTCTGTCCCTCTCTCTCTCTGCCCCTTCCCCATTCGTTCTGTCTTTCAAAACGAAATAAGCATTAAAAACAACAACAACAAATCTCTTTTATCTGAAAACCACCTGAATAAAAAACTATCTATAGAATAGTTCATAAAATAGACCTTGCTGACACTGGGTGTGGTGTGGTTTCAGTCCTACTCCAAAAACAGTTGGGCCAAAAGTTACTTTGATACTTTCAGATATGCTTGTCACAGACTATTTTTAATGTTTCTTTTTAAAACATTGTCTTTGGGGGGTGGGGGGGAAGCTGTTGCTAGTTTGGCCTTCACAGACAGAAGGGCACAGGTCACCCGCTCTTCCTCCCTCGCAGGTCTGTGCCCCAGGGTAGAAGCAGGGGCTCCATTGCCGGAACCTTTGCCTGAGCGCTAGAAGGGTTGTCTTTTCTTCTGTTCGTGAGCCCAGACCCTTCACTCGTTAATTCAGCGATGCATTCCGTCATTCATTTTTCGTGTATTTACTGGGCATCTACTCAGTACCAGGTGGAACCACAAAGGCAGATTCAGCGTAGACCTCCGCCTTGCGGAGCCCTCGTTCTCAGGTGAAAACTGGCTCGGTGTGGAGCAGACGCACGCGCAGTGCGGTACCTGCTGTAACACAGGTGCCTGCGAAGGGCAAGCGGTCAGCTCTGCAAGTGAAGACCTTTCCTCCCTGAGTGTCCTCTTCCAGCAGTTTCCACATGTCTCTCTCTCTCTGCCCTCACACCTGCACGGGTACCTCATCTAACCTTGACTTGTGCTGTCCGCAGCTTGTTGTATTGAGTACATCCTCTAGTAAGGTCTGTGACAGTAGGACCTTAGTCCCCCATGGCATCATAGTCCCCCGTGGCATCCACTAATGGCTTCTGTGTGCCAGTTCTAGAATCACCCTGTCACAGTTCATGAGTTCGAGCCCCGTCTCAGGCTCTGCGCTGACAGCTGGAGCCTGCTTTGGATTTGGTTTCTGTGTCTCTCTGCCCCTCCCCCATTCGCTCGCACGCGTGCGTGCGTGCTCTCTCTCTCTCTCTCTCAAGAATAAACATTAAAAAAAAAATTAGGATCACCCTTTCAGAGCACCTGTATCAGAGCGGGAGCAAACCACCTAAAATATCTCTGCCTTAGTTTCCCCTTTGGTAAAGGGGGAGACCCGGAAAAACTAGCTTCCCTGAACCTTTTTTCAAGATTTTGGGTAAGGATCAATTTGTGTTGCCTTCAGAGATTTTTACTACAGTTGGAAGTCGATGTTTAGGATGCATGATGGGACCACGCACAGAAACACATGGGTTTACCAAGAAGTGAGTGTATCTTCAGATGCGTTGTTGAGATCGCACACATTTGGGACTGATTAAAGGGCCATGCAGAATTGTCAGGCTGCTGGCCTGAGGTACCTGAGATAAGCAGGTCCCTGAGTGATACTGGCTGTTCCTGATGTCTTTCTAACTCATCACGGTGAAATTTTTAAGACTATCTCACAGAGAACATCTAGTGGGTCCCCTTGTTTTACTACCGTGTTTGTGACAAACGGAAATTAGAACACATGTTGCATTACTTATGTGCATGCTACATAGACATTTCTGTGGTTATTGGATTTTTTTTTAATTTTTTTTAACTTTTTTTTAAATTTATTTTTTTTTCTAAATTTTTTTTTTTTTTCAAAGTTTATTTATTTTTGGACAGAGAGAGACAGAGCATGAACGGGGGAGGGGCAGAGAGAGAGGGAGACACAGAATCGGAAACAGGCTCCAGGCTCCAAGCCATCAGCCCAGAGCCTGACGCGGGGCTCAAACTCATGGACCGCGAGATCGTGACCTGGCTGAAGTCGGACGCTTAACCGACTGCGCCACCCAGGCGCCCCTAAATTTATTTTTAAGAGAGAGCACAAGTGGGGGAGGGGTAGAGAGAGGGAGACACAGGATCCGAAGCAGGCTGCAGGTTCTGAGCTGTCAGCACAGAGCCCCACATGGGGCTTGAACTTACGAACTGTGAAATCAAGACCTGAGCCGAAGTTGAACACTCAACCAACTGAGCCACCCAGGCACCCCTGTTTCTTTAAATATATGTAACGGCTTTATTGAAATAAATTCAAATACCACTTAATGCACCCCTTTAATGTGTATAGTTCAGTGGGTTTTCATGTATTCACGGACTTGTACGTCCATCATCACACTCAATTTCAGAACATTTTTATGACCCTCCCCGCCCCCCCGCAACTGCCCCAGCCCTGGGCACCCACTAATCTGCTTTCTGTCTCTGTGAAGTTGCCTAATCTGGACATAGCTTTGTAAATGGGATAAGATAGTGTGTTGTCCTTTGTGATTGGCTTTTTTCATTTAGAATAGTGCCTTCAAGGTTCATCAGTATTGCAGCATGTATTGGTTGATTTCGTTCCTTTTCGTGGCTGAATAATAATAGTCCATGCATGTATATACCACCTTTGATTATCTGTTGATGGGCATTTGCTTATATCCACCTGGGGGCACTTGTGAATATGGCAGCCGTGAACTTTCATATCCATGCTTTTGTGTGGAGTAAATCTTCCATCCAGGAGTGGAATTTCCAGGTCATGTGGTAGCTTTTTGAGGAGCTGCCAGACTGTTTCCCAAAGCTGCTGCACCATTTTAATCTTTTGAGGGAATTCTTGGGGAGCCACTCTTGGGTTTTACAAAGAGACTGGGAACTCTGTACAAAATGGGGGTAAAACGTCAGCACCCCGACTTACGACTTCCCTTCTCTTTTCTCTGCAGTTTTCGGGGGAGAACGCGGAGCGCTTGAAGAAGACGTACGGCAAGTTCTGTGGGCAGCACAACCAGTCTGTAAACTACTTTAAAGACCTTTACACCAAGGATAAGCGGTTTCAGGCCTTTGTGAAGGTATCGGTGTGAAACGTGGAAAACCCCCATCATTGTCCGGGGCTCTGTGTTGCCGTCTGTTGAGCCGCAGCCCCCTTGAGCAGTTCCTGATGACCCGTTTTGTCCTTTGCAGAAGAAGATGAGCAGCTCCGTCGTGAGGAGGCTGGGAATCCCAGAGTGCATACTGCTGGTGACCCAGCGGATCACCAAATACCCGGTGTTGTTCCAAAGGATCCTGCAGTGTACCAAAGGTGAGCCCCCGTCCTCAGCCAGTCATGTGTGGTGCCGGGGCACTGTTTCCTATGTCCAGCGTCTCCAGAGGCCCCAGTGAAGAGCTCCTGCTTGCTCTCAAACGTCCAAAAGAGATCCTATGTTCTACCTTAAAAACCCATTTATTAAGTGAAAACTTGAAATGCTGGGTCACCAGACTTGTGGTGGATGACAACAGGAAGGGAAAGAACCGCTTCCTGATTTCCTCTGGAATTGGCAACCAGAATACCTTCTCCCTGACCACTGGACGGGGCTGGTTCCCACCAGCTTTCTTCCTAAGTGCTAGACCAGCTGCTGTTTCTCGGGACTTACTGGTCTGTCTGTCCCTGTCTCTGTCTCTGTCTCTCCCCCCTGCCCCTGGGCAGTGGGCAGTTACATTGAAGATGAGGTAAAACAAAGACATAAGTTGAAAAATTGATCCTCCTCTCCCTCCCGAAATTGTTGGTTCCTTCTACTTTAGGATACGGCATGCAACTGTGTGTTGCCTGTGTCCTTGAAAACATATAACTTTACTTAGAACTAACCTTATGACAGGAATAGGCATATTCCTTTGGTGTGTTGGCTTCACTCTGGTAGCATGTCCCCGAAGGGAAAATGACGGTGGAGCAGGGAGGTAGGCTTCCCCCCGTCTACCTTGGCTGCAAGGATCCAGTAAAAACAAACTATTTCTTCCTTCAAAGACAATGAGGTGGAGCAGGGAGATCTCGCTCAGTCCCTCAGCCTGGTGAAGGATGTGATTGGAGCCGTAGACAGCAAGGTGGCAAGTTACGAAAAGAAAGTGCGTCTCAATGAGATTTATACGAAGACAGATAGCAAGTCGATCATGAGGATGAAGAGTGGCCAGATGTTTGCCAAGGAAGATTTGAAGCGGAAGAAGCTTGTGCGGGACGGGAGTGTGTTTCTGAAGAACGCGGCAGGAAGGCTGAAAGGTAAGGCTCGCTTTTTGTCTGAGTCTGTTCATGTGTCAGACAAGAGCAAGCAAAAAAATTTCAGGTACTTTTGTTAGCAGTCCACCGGCTGATTTGTCCTAGGGAGCCGCATCCACACATCACACAGGAGCAGCCGCCCTCGAATCGTTCTTAATTTTCTATCAGAAAGGACAGGCCGAGATAGCCCATAAGGTCCTCAACTCCAGTAGGATAAAAAGGAAAGTTAGGGAAAAGGGGGGGGAAGGGGGAAGATTCTAAACAGCAAAGCTAGGTGGCCCTGCTCTGTTCCTGCTCCCGGTGACGCCGAGGGCGTGCGTGCCAGGGGCGGCCCCACGGAGTGGGAGGCGGAGGGGGAGCTGGCACCAGGGCCTGTGTGGCGGTGTGGCTCTCATGGGAGGAGTGTGGGGGTAGGCCCAGCAGCACTGGCGTCCAAAGCGGAGCACGCAGTAAAAAAATCTTAGCGTGGAAAATGCCACGAAAACGAAGGAACAAATTGCTAGTAAAGGAGAGCCCCGGCCCTCCCTCTGGAGGCCGGTGAACATGGTGTGCCTCCAGCAAATGTAGGCAGTTCCGTCGGGCAGTGTGGGCGGGACGTGCGCCAGAGGCTCTGGGAGCCACAGGCAAGGGTGAGAGAAGAGATGGACAGGACTGGGGAGGTGGTGAGACGGCCGAGGGAAAAGCCATTCGGCCATGGTCTGCGGGCAATTAGCACTGACCCTCTTCCATGACCATCATGATGCCTTTGACCCAGATGTTTTCCCTGAAGTCCTTAGGAAGACACACTTGCTTCCTAAACTTCATGCTCTCACTTACCTTCATTGTCAACCTTCTGGTGTCACGTGTCTCTTGTGGGTCGCCTGCGGCCAGCTTCTAATCAAATGTTGTATTTTGACCCAATCTGTAAGGTCCTGACAGCAGGGGACTTTGACCCGATCTCATGGCAGGATGCTCATTATATAATGTGAAATTCATAAAGCAATTTAGGGGGGCGTCTGCGGGGCTCAGTCAGTTAAGCGTCCAACTTGGGCTCAGGTCATGATCTCATGGTTTGTGAGTTTGAGCCCCGTGTTGGGCTCTGTGCTGACCTCTCGGAGCCTGGAGCCTGCCTCCAATTCTGTGTCTCTTTCACTCAAAACATTAAACAAAATTAAAGAATAAAGCAGTTTCAAAAGACAAGAAAACAAACAAGCAAAAATCCCGAGTGTAAGATTACTATAAAAACGCAAGCTGTTAAGGAGGGCAGATTCCCCTACAGAAATGGGCAGCACATTTGGAGCTGGGGCCTCCGGTGTCCGTTGCAAGGAGTGGAACTGCCATAAGGTTCCAAGTCAGAGTGTGTGAGATTAAAAATACGTCACTTGTTCTGAAGACAGGTGGTAGAGGACCTTCCAGCTCCCAGACCGTAGAGAACTGTTCTGTTTAACTCCTGTCGACTCGATGGATTATTAAACTTGATGATCTTTATCTCTTTCATCTTTCTCTAAGCGAGAGATCACAAAAAATACTAATTTTCCATTGGGTTTTAATTCTTTTCTTTTAAAAGATTGGCTACATCAAGTTAAGGAAGTTATCATGAGGTTTGTTCATTCTCTGTGCTTGTGATTGATTGCTTAATAATTGTTCTCATCGAACCTGCGCTCTCTGGGCCCCTACGGCGGCTCTGACCTCCCCAGCAGCACTGAGTCTGCCCACCCCCATGCTGGCTTCCGCAAGCCGCCTGCCCAGTGCACAGCCCCGCTGGCCTAAGACCAAGGCTGGGGACGAAACCTGTGCCTTTCTCGTGTCTCTGACGTATCTGTGACACCGTGGGTAACTGCTGTTGGCCAGCCCCCTAGCGTCCTTGACTGACGTGTCCCCACGCTTGGACCAAACAGCAAAGACGTCCCAGGCAGTCGCATGGCTCCAGAGGTGCATGAAGCGACCCTGCTCAGAGGTTGGGGTCTGTGCAGACGTGCTCGCTCCGCAGTCTGATGGGTGCGGGAAACAAGGGCTGAACGAGGCCGGGGGCAAGCGGTGAGGAGCGGCATTAGACTTACTCATGAAGGACGAAGTCGTGAAGGATGGCCTGGTTTGGGGCGGCAGAGACGGTGGCGGGGACACGGGGACACAGGCCGGGCGGCAGAGAGGGACCCAGTCAGGATGGAGACGTCCACAGCCGATGCTGCTGATCAGGGTGGGCAGACAGTGGGTTCCAGAGTGAGGGTTTTCAGCAGGAGAGGAACACATTGGACAGGGGATGCGGTGAGGAAGCAGCAACGGGACAGGCTGGTGACAGAGACAGGAGAGCCCCTGCCGCAGGGGTTCGGGGCCAGCGCACAGGGCCGGAGCTCCAGCAGGAGCGTGAGGAGGAAGGACCGGAGTGCTTCAGAGGAAAGAAGGATCCCTTCCTGCCCCCAGCACGTGTGTCCCTGCTCCATGGTGAACTTGAAGTCTGTGATCCCTGAGGCTCCCTTCACACTCCGATGCTCTGAGAACCCGCTTCAGGCCTCTGCCCACATTGGCTGCTTGGGGCCGTCTTCAGGCAGCCTGGCCCTTGAGAAACGCCTGCCTCCTTCATAAGGACCTGAGTTTCCTAGAGCTGCTGCCTGGAGCCCGCACTTGACTCCTTCCTGCACACGGCACTTTGTGTGTTCACCCCCAAAGCGAAAGCTCCTGGATTCTGGCTGGGGGAGTGCAGCTGTGGCCCAGCGATGGCTTCTATGGCCCGAGGTGCCTCTAGCAGGGACAGGGGCTGGTGCAGAGTCGTCCTCCTCCAGGCGCACTCGTGCCAAGAACAGCCAATACGGTGCTGGGCACCCCTCGAACGGGACGAGCGTTGTTCTCCGACCCACCGACCCTGGTCATACAAATCTCAGGATCCAACTGAGTTGAAACTTGTGTTTTGGAATTTTTTTCTTTTTTGGCAGACACCTGAATTATTTAAAAGTAAATTTCAAGAAACTTGTCAAAACTATTAGTAGTCCATAGAAAATTCCTGTGGTCTCAGCTGAAAAACTGTACCTCCCCAGGAATCAGACATCCTTGCTTCTGTTTTCTTTTTTTTTTTTTATTAAAAAAAATTTTTTTTTTTTTACATTTATTTATTTTTGAGAGAGAGACAGAGCATGAGCATGGGAGGGGCCGAGAGATGACGAGACACAGAATCCAAAGCAGGCTCCAGGCTCTGAGCTGTCAGCACAGAGCCCAACGCGGGGCTCGAACTCACAAACTGAGAGATCATGACCTGAGCCGAAGTTGGACGCTTAACCGACTGAGCCACCCAGGAGCCCCAACTTCTGTTTTCTGTATAGCTTGGTAGTAAATTACATGGGGAGGGGCTTCCAGTCGTGGGAAGGGGTAGGAAAGGCCAGAAGGGACCTGACCACCTGTAAGGGGGCTGCAGAAGCCCCCATTCTTTTCCCAAGGAATCATAGGCCCTCCTTCCAGGGAAAAGAAGACACAGGGGGGCCAGCCTGGGTTAGATCTCAGTAGATGGCTGATCTCCAGAGATGCCAGACTTTGTCCTCACGGGAGGAATGGAAAATTCGAACTCCAACACAGCAAGAGTGTGTAGCATTCTTTGGGTTACTAGATCCAAGTGGATAGTTACTTTGACTTTTGTCTTAGTTGAGAGGGAGGGCTGGCTGTGTCCATGCTAGACAGAGGTTGAGGTTGCCTAGGAGACGTTGGAGCAGGGGGAAGAGCCACTGTGTTCACATGTACCTGTGAAACCAGAGGGCGTCGCAGAACCCTTCTGTTCTCCTGGGGTGCGGGGCGGGGGGGAAGCCCACCTTTATTAGACTGAGGCATTTTTATCCATCAGCTGTTGGCAGCGCTCTGGTCTGCTCTCCCACGCCTCTTCCATTGTCACGATCAAAAATCGAGGATGTCGTGGAATGTGGTACTATTTGACATCTGTTAAAGTCCTTCCCAACTTTATTCTGGGAGAATTTTACTCTTTTTTTTTTTAATTTTTAACTTTTAATTTTTTATGTTTTATTTATCTTTGAGAGAGAGACAGAGTTACACGTAGGGAAGGGGCGCAGAGAGAAGGAGACAAAATCCAAAGCAGGCTCCAGGCTCTGAGCTGTCAGCACAGAGCCCGACCCGGGGCTCAAACTCAGGGACCAT